GAAGCATATAGATCAGAGATCAAATACTAAAGGCATCGTTATGTCTTGGTTGTAATGTAAAAAAGGAATTTTTCTATCTTATACAATCATTTTTAGCCTTAAATAATGTAAAATTAGTATTTCAAAACTTGAATAATAAAAACTGAAATAAGATACAAGTTAATATGTAATATGGTTTGCTTTATTCTCTTTTCTAAAAGAAAGGATTATATGACGTTTAAATCCGGAGCTTAAAATTGCTTAAATTTCGTCTAACTAAGCCAATCAGCAATCAACATGCTATAAACCAATAAAAATTTAGCACTCATCATCTGCAAAAACTTTGAAAAACGGTAGTTGGGATCGCGTAATCTGAATCCGAGGTTAGTTTTTTGAAATTTTTTTGTTCTTCACTTTTTCACACAAAGGACCACTTTTTAGCAAAAAAGTTATTTTTTACAAGGGTTGACCGAAGGGTAATCAGGGTTGAAGAACTCGAATCTGATGTTACTTCTTTTTGATTCACTATGGTTGAGCCATTGTACCGTACTCTTCTCAAAAAACGAATTTTATGTACTGCTCTATTTCATATCTTAATCAGAAGTGATGATATAGATGGCCTGAATATAAAATTTATCAATAGCTAAATGTGGAAAATATAACTTATATCATTTGAAAAGGTGGCACACAGCTAATATCAGTTTGAATAAACGTTATGGTGTTAGTGGCAATCACATGTAAAAAATTTCGATAGATTTTTCGAAAAAATATAGGAATAAGAACGATGTAGCTGACGCCAAACCCATTGATAGATATTTACAGACATCAATCATATAAATAACATCCGAAATATGTGAAGAACTATGTTAAGCCAATACGATCGCTTTGTGGGGACTCATATAGTACTTCTGTCTTTTAGTTTCTTTCTGGGAATCATATTAAGATAAACTCATTAATTTTTGAAGAGGAAATCTAAGAAACTTCATTTATTGGTTGCGAAAGTGAATCAAAAGTAGACGACATAGTGGAGACGCGTGCATAGAAACGAATAGACGTTGATTTAAAGAGTTATATTTTAAAATATGGATATGAATGAGCTGCAGGTACTTCGAACGATTCTTCGAAGAAAACTAACTCAAGATCCTCCAAAAATGAATCCGGAAGGTTATTATTTTCCTGGAAATAAAGAGGGAAATGAAATTTATGTTGAAAGCCACACACTTATGTACATTTTGTAAGTGTTCGATTACGAGTTAATTAATCATGATGGACTTATTTTTGGCATTTGTGAAGATTCTTCTCAGACTGTAAAGAAAATAGAAAAAAGACGATGCATGTAAACGGCTACTCGCGAGTGGTCTAATAGCTTATAGTAACTAAAATGAGTAAAGTTAACTGAATTTTTGAGCAGTGTTAAGCGATTCAATCCATGAACTAAGGCAAATCTTTATCTCATTTTAATTGTAGTGACCGATCCAATCACATCCCTAGAGGAGAAGATCGACAGCAACTTTGATGTGTTATTTGTTATAATTATCGCGAAACTGAAAATAACTTTTTATCATGCATAAAAAATTAATTCTCTTAGAGAATTTTGCAATAAAGCTACTGAATTTTATTGCAAAACTGTCCTTTTTAGTAAAAGGTGTAGTGACGATTGCATCGGGGTTCTTGTTATTCAAGTATTTGAATGGCCTAGGGACTATTATAATTCTTTCAGAAAAGGATCAGCTAATCCAAAGGATAAGCGTGACTTGTTTATAATAGACGAAGAAAAATATACATAACAGATCTGACTGAATCGTAAAAAGAGATCTTATATACCAATGAAATATTTTTAATCCGATTTATTCTGAAAATCTCTTTTTTAAATTCTGATTTCCTCTTACTCTATTTGATGCACTATTGTCAAAGAAAAAAAAATAATTGAGTTACTAAATGAATAGAAAATATATTATTCTTCAGATCTGACACGATTTTTATTCTTTTAATTTCAATGAAATTTCTTGACGAAAAGTGGATTGTGCTACCATATAGAGAGACTTAGAAATCTCTATAATTGTGTGAATACATACCTGATATTAACTGTACACCAGTGATTGTTGTTATCGAACATATTGTCAATGAAAGAGAAATTGTTGTGCCATTTGTTAGTGTACTTGGTATGCTCAAAGATAGAAATAGGATCTTACCCATGTCTTCAAAATCACCAAGGTTTGGGCGATGAATCGCGATTTTTCAAAATATTGACGATTATATCGCCAGTAAAAAATGCTTCTTTTGTCGGAATCATTATGAATCAATGCTTTTCGACAAAAAAATCCGCAAAAAGTCCTTAGTTTTGGCGATTTTATCGCGATAGATCTCACAATTAATCGTCACATCGGACTATTTTATCGCGATTTTCCGAAAAATAATCGTCAATCAAATCGCGATTAATCGGAGACTTTTTATCGAAATCTTGGCCTATTGCGGTATATCGCGATAAATCTCACAATTAATCGGGTGCTAAATCGCGATTAAATCGTCGATATTCCCCCGATTTTAATGACATGGGACATCATCTATCAATAAATTTCGTAAACGTTGTATTATTTTATTAATAAGAATAATATTATATTGCTGTTTAGTATCTACGTCGTACTGAAGAAAAAATATTCTGTTTCTTGTAGGCTATGCATAGTGTTTGAAAAATCGAAAGATACATCTGAACATTTCTTCAGTAAAGAAAAACACGTTCACTCTATTTGTTTAATATTAAAATATTTTATAAAAAGAATAATTTTATTTAAGATATAAATTCAACGTTTACAACAAACAATAACTTCAGAAGCAAATGAATCTAAATTAAAAGAATGGTTTTTATCAATTTCACCTGAAAATAATATATCAGAGGTATAAATAATAAAATTATTTTTTTCTCAATCTAAAAAATGCTTCTCATTTATTTCTAGTTAACTCTTCATGTCATGTGAACGATTATTTCATCAATGAAGATTTAAATACTGCACATATTTTTCAAAGTAATCATTTATCTGATCGTATTTGTTATTTTATTAATTATAATAAACAAATTGAAATTGTTCTTAATGATATTAATAATTAATATCGAACATTATTACTTTACGTAAATATGTTAACTAGTATTATAAAACAACATAGTACAGAAGTAGCAAATCATAAAACAAATGAAGAACAATTCAAAGATTTTAATGAACAACTTTTAAATGAAAATTAAAAATAAAACTTTAAAATACAAGAATATCGTTCGAAATTTCTTCAAATAACAAATATAAATAATCAATTAAAACATTCTTTTCTCAAATTGTAGAATAACTCATTGGCATGTAATGATATTGCTACACAATTTTCATTTTTAAATGTAACCAACTTTTTCTGCTTAGGTTAGAGCAATAAAGAGAACGTAATTTTTTATCAATTAATTGGATAATCGCACATTAAATTGTAAGTTATTTTTGAATAGTTTGAATCAACTATTAAAATAAAATAAAATTTATGTTATGAAATATTAGACAATGGAATCACCCATATCCTCGAGATATGTATATCAAGTATCACTAGTCAAAATAACTAATCCATTGTATTAAGCGACCTCTAGTCATTGTGATATCGAATGGTATAGTACAAGTATTAGTTTTATTCCATTTTAATATATAATACGAAATACCCAAGATTAATCTTATTTTTTCATGACTTCAAATTTTAACCAATCTTCCTTTCGAAATACATCATTATGTGTTTATATTGGAAATACATCATCATTTGATGATCAAACATTAATAGATTATTGTTCAAAATTTGGTACAATAGTTTCATGTTCAATTGATAATTGTCCAAATGAAAAACGTATATTTTGTGATTTTCATATTATTGAATTTGCTACAAAACAACAATTAGAATCTTTTTTTAATAAGTCTATACATCAGATTGATTCGATTATATTAGATGTTAAATTATATGAAAAACTAATAGAAAATTTTGAAATATTAAATATAGATCGTAAATTATTCATTGGACCAATAATCGATTTAAATGATATAAATATGATAACAGAATTTTATAAACAAATTGATCCAATATTACAATATTATATATCTTCACATGGTACACAAACATATGTATTAATAGAATTTAGTAATCGACAACATATTCGAACTATTATTCAACAACAAATAATACCAAAAACAGTCGATAATAAAATGTTTGCAATTCATACAGCTATACATCCAAAAGAATTCATAAATAAGAAATTATTTACAACAAATAGTCAATCTCAAATATGTATCAATGGAATAACAGATCAAATTACAGAAAAAATGTTAATGTATAAGTGAAAAATATTATATAAATAAGCTTTTTATTATTATTGATTTTTTCTAGTGATTATTTTGAAAAACGTGCATCAGTTATTGCTTGTCATATACTTTCAACAGATCCAAAATGTGCTATTGTTCAATTTGCTAATGATAAATGTACTCAAAAATTTCTTGATATATCTGTAATACGTTTCTATGAAACAACTCTTTCAATAAGTAAAGTACCTGATCATCTTACATCAACATTATTACCTTGTACGAATGATAAAGAAACAGAAGTATATTATAATGATGATGAAATAGATGAATTACTTGAAGCAACTAGACTAAATTCAATTCATTCTCTTGCAATACAAAATGAACCAATTTTACCGTTACAATCTATAGAACCAATGCGTGGCGATTCACCAGAGTAAGTTCCCTTCATTTTTAATGATTTAACTTTAATATTGAAATAGGATTAGTGAATGTGGTTGGGCATCACCTCCAAGAACTGTTATCAATCATTGCCTTCCAGTTGATCAACCAGCTCAACGTTTATCCTCGCAACCATGTATTACAACAATGGATATTAATACACATGCAATATACCAAACAATTGTTATTGATACAGATATAAAACCAATACATAATTCAATAAATAATATATTACATTTTGTTGAAGAATTTCAAAAACAACTCGAACAAATTAAAGATGAATATATGATGAAATTTAGTAAAGATCGAGTATCGATTGAACGTGAACTTAATCAATTAATCAATGAAGAACAAATAGCATTTGAAAAAATTCACCAACAGTTATGTGATTTTCGTCGACGTAGTTCAACAAAATACTATGATCATAAACGGAAATATAGTTAAAATATCATTCTCTTTTTTTTTGTTGTTAATATATTTGTTTTATTTTTGCTTTGTTCTAAGAACTTTTGTGCATTTTCTTATACTATGAAAATATGTAATATAAATTGATTTTGTTAGAGTAACAACGACAGATGTCGTAATGAAAATTTAGTAACTCTATTCGTCACATGTCGGAAAGAAGAACATGACTCAATATTTTCTCTCTCGGTTAAAACCTTTTCTCAATAGACTTACTATTCGTTCTGTTCTTCCTTGTTTGCTCATTACTAATAACTATAAAAGACGTAATATGCATTGCATCAGCCATTAATATAAATAGATCATTGTAAAAATTGAGTAACACTTACACATTACATTCTAAATATGGCAGTATCTATTGACAACGAAGCACGTCTCGTTCTATTTCAATCAATTGGTCTCAATGAACAAAAAGCTCGTGAAACATTGAAAAATCATGATCTTACTCGTGTTTTGGAGACAACTATCAATGAAGTGGGAAATATTTATATATAAATATATTTTTTTAATTCTTTTTTTTTCAAATTTTACTTCAGACTAAAAAGATTTTACCTAATGAAAATCAAATAACTAAATCAATTGGTAATCTTCTCTATGCTCTTTCAACAAAGAGTAAACAACAAATATATCATTTACATTCCTATTTAATTAAATATATTTGTGAAGAAAAAATCAAAACTGAACAACAGCTCATAGGTATCAATAATAAATATAAAAAAAGAAATAATCTTGATTTGGTTTTTTTATTAGCCGCTATTGATTATCTTTTAACAAATCCAACGGAACCAGTTGATCAGAAAGCATTAGAAGAAAGTGCAGGTATTGGAGTCATAGTGACTTCTGAGGAAATTAAACATATGGTATGATATTTTCAAGTGTTATACTTTTATTAATAGAATAATGGTGAATTTAGGTCGAAGAAATTATTGAACAAAACAAAACTAAATTACTTGAACAGAAGTATGAATTTTCCATCGGTACACTTTTAGGTGAAGTTCGTAAACGTTTAAAATGGGCTGATGGAGGAACTATTAAAGCAGAAATGGATAATCAAGTAAAACGTTTTTTCATAGATAAAATATAACATTTGTATATCTAAATATTTATAGTTACTTAAACTTCTTGGTCCTAAAGATCATTCTACTAAAAAGACAACACAAAAATCAAATGTTTCATCAACGACTGAGAATGGACAAGTACGTTCATTTGCGGATTTAGTTGGTGAAGCATTGAATTTTCATAAACCAGGTTAGATTTAAAAAATTGATCTTTTAGTAAAAACTTTCCTTTTTTTGTTCAGGTGAAAATTATAAAACAGAAGGATATCAAATGACACTGAACACAATGAATCTTATTCGAGAACATTTAAAAAAAACAGGTGGACAAGTAAGTCGAATAAATGTTAATTAAATTTTGTTTATTTTTATTTCTTAAGGTTATAACACGATTTCCACCTGAACCTAATGGAATTTTACATATTGGTCATGCTAAAGCAATTAATTTTAATTTTGGTTATGCAAAAATTAATAATGGTATTTGTTATTTACGTTATGATGATACAAATCCAGAAAAAGAAGAAGAAAAATTTTTTACTGGCATCCTTGATATTGTTAAATGGCTTGGTTAGTTTAAAGAGAAGTTTTATTAATCAATAATGATTTTGTTTAGGTTATGAACCCTATAAAGTAACTCATGCATCAGATCATTTTGATCAATTATTTGAATGGGGTAAAGAATTAATTCGTCGTGATCTTGCTTATGTTTGTCACCAAAAATGTGATGAATTAAAAGGACATAATATTCCTGAATCACCATGGCGTAACCGACCTATTGATGAATCTTTACAATTATTTGAAGTAAAAATAATATTTTCTTGAAATTGTGTATTAAAAAAGGATCATATTTTAAGGATATGAAACATGGTAAATTCTCTGAAGGTGAAGCAACATTACGTATGAAATGTGTAATGGAAGATGGGAAACTTGATCCTGTTGCTTATCGTATTAAATTTGCTCATCACGCTAAGACGGGTGATAAATGGTAAGAAGACTATTATTATCAATAGTAGCCAAAATTTAGTATATATTTTTCACTTTCTTCTGCGATTAGGTGTATCTATCCAACATATGATTATACACATTGTTTGAATGATTCAATTGAAAATATTACTCATTCATTATGTACAAAAGAATTTCAAGCAAGGTAAGAAAATTTATATAGAAAAAAAAATTTTACAAATAAATTAGTATAGACGTTCTTCATATTACTGGTTATGTAATTCTCTTGATGTATATTGTCCTGTACAATGGGAATATGGTCGTTTAAATCTTCAATATACCGTTGTATCAAAACGAAAAATTGTTAAATTAGTTGAAAATAATGTTGTTAGGTAAAGAAGTTTTTATTTTTTCCAATAGGAACTATTTTTTTCTCATTGTAGAGATTGGGATGATCCACGTTTATATACATTAACTGCATTGAGACGACGAGGTTTTCCACCTGAAGCAATTAATTTGTTTTGTGCTCGTATTGGTGTAACAATGTCACAAACTGTTCTTCATCCAGATATGCTTGATGCATGTGTACGTGAAGTACTTAATGCTACTGCTCCAAGGTATAAATTCATTTATTGATCAAAAATTTTATTGAAACAAAATGTTTTTTTTTAAAGAGTAATGGTTGTGCTAGAACCATTAAAAGTAACGATTACTAATTTTCCATATGAACATATGATAGAATTACCTGTACTTAATATTCCTGGAGAAGAATCGAATGGTTCTCATACAATTAAATTTGATTCTGTGGTTTATATTGAAAAATCCGATTTTAATGAAGTAATATCAATAAACATAAGGATAAATAATGATTTTCTTTATTTATTTCTAGAATCCACCAAAAGATTTCAAACGATTAACACCTCATCAATCATGTGGATTAAAATATACTAGTTTAGTTCTTACTATTCAAGAGATCATTCGAGTAAAATATTACAATATATATATATAATCTAATTCAATATTTATAATTAGGATTCAAATAATGAACCTATTGAATTAAAAGTAACATGTCAAAGAGTAACTGATGAAGGTGTTGCAAAATATAAAAGTTTCATTCATTGGGTATCACATCCAAATAAATGTGAAGTTCGACTTTATGAAAGACTGTAAATATATTTTATTTAGTATATAAACATTCTTTTCTTTTTTTTGCCTATCTAGTTTTCTCCATCCAAATCCTGAAGATAAAAAAGAAGTTCCAGATGGTTTTCTTTCAGATATTAATCCAGTATGAAAATTTATTTCTTTATGATACACTTCTAAATTTTTTTTTAAGAATTCATTAATAATCAATTCAAACGCTTTTGCTGATGATGGCATTAAAAATGCTAAAATATTGGATAAGTTTCAATTTGAACGTATAGGATATTTTAGTGTTGACCAAGATACAACAAATGAAAAAGTATAAATCAAATATTAATTGATTGTAATATTAATATTTTTCTATTTTTAGCATGTATTCAATCGAACAGTAACACTAAAAGAAGACAAACAACGCATCTCATAAGCAAAAAAAATATTTTTTTCGGACATATTGTTTTAATTAAAGTTATATCTTCTCTATAAATTCAATGATTTATAATCTCGTTAAAATAAATTCCTTGTCTGTTATTTATCTTCCTTTAACACTACTTACAAATTTATTTAATTAAAGGAACAAGGAAAAAAAGAAATATATATAGTAGTTAGTTATCTATGTTTAAGATCTTCTTCTCTGACTTTTTATTATCAATCGTTGTTCTATATATAGAGAAAATAACAATGCTTCAATGCATTATTTTTCACGCTGTCGACTTCTGTAGTCTACGTTCTGCGATTTATTACATATTTTATTCAAATATGAATTGACTTTTTGATTATACTATATAATAGTCTAACCATCAAAATAACAAAAATAAATCAGATATTATTGTGTTACATATTTGAAAAAAAGAAAATATAAACAGGATAAGTATTTATATTCATCAGACAATCATTATAGGAAATAATATTAGATTATTGCTTTTTTTAATTTATATTATTAGAAAATCTTGTTGGCATGTTTTGATTTGCTAATATCTCGATGATAGAATTGAATATTTACAAAATTTCTTTTAATTGTTTTTTTACTAAAAAGAAACATCCCTCTTTCGTCAATTGAATAAATCAAAGTATATGTGAAGAAAAAAAGAGAAGTTATTGTTCTGTTTTCTTTTTATTTATTTGACATTAAAACTGATCGATAAAGATAATTAATTCGGATAGATCAAGAGAAAAAACAACAGGAAGTAGTTCACATATTTCATTTTTTGTTTTCTCTAGTACAATAGTTTGGATAATGCATCAATTGAATTTGATGATGATGGTCCTGATGAATGCAATGAACGCTTGTCAAGTGCCCAACTACATACTTTCCATAAACATTCTAAAATTGAAAAGAAAATAAGAACTAAAAACAAAAAGATAGGTTTATTTTTGTTACGTCGTCCTCGTTTTTGGAAACTACGTGCATGACCATCAGCTTGATCAAGAAGACCAACAGCCGATGGACCCATTGATGGATTTGCTTCATTTAAGAATGCTTCAGAATGTAAAAGTTTCGAAAGTAATTCTTCGCTTGGTTCACCTTCGGATTCAGACCAAAATGGTCTCTATATTTATAAACAAAAAATATTTATTAAAAATAGAAATCTTTCGATAATATTTACTTGAATATGACTTAATGTATAACAATTAATGAGAAATATTTGTGCACAAATAAACATCAGGATAAATTGTACTTTCAACATGATGATAATATCGTTAAGAATATTGATGGATTTAAAATAGATGATGCTAGAATAAAAAGAATATTTGATAATATAACTTTTCCGAATAGATGTTTCTAGCGTTAGTGCAAGAAAATCTAACACTAAAAGTAAATGTATATAATGTCGTTAGTATCACAAATGCAACTTCTTATATATATACATAATGAAGTAAATTAACGGAATATTATCGTGGGTTAAAATTTGCATGACTAGAAATTACAGATGAGCAAACTTTTTATGGAAGAAGAAAGGAAGAAATTAATAGCATGTCTATGTCACCTACTTGTTTTTTAAACTCTTTAATTTATCGGTAGATAAAATAAAGTCACCGACATATCTTTACGGTTCAGAAAATTATAAGCATGAAATAAAAAAAATAAATTACAAATAACACATAGGATGATTCTTATCCTTTACTGTCTGCTTGTAATTTAAATTTCCGACTTGAATGAATGAGAAATAGAAAAGCGGAATAAACTTGTCTTTGATAAAAACTTACATGAGTGTGAGAACAAATGTACAAATGTTTCTCCTTTCTGCTCTTTCCTTTTCTCTTCTTCTCTGTTTTTCTTCCTCTTCTCTTTTTTTTTGCCTATTAGTATCGATCATGATTGAACGATGTCAAATCGATTCAAGTGTATAGACCATTATCATATGAAATGCTATTGTATTCTACTTGAAAATTAAAACCTTGAATTAGAACAAAACAAATTGTTAAGAAAAAAAAGATGACATATTGCATCAGTTATTATCATTTGCCAATTATACAGAAAATATAAAGAGATATTATGTTATTCTATGATCATCAATAAATAATGACAATTAATTTGTTTATTTCTCATACATTTCATTGTATTCATACTGATGTAATTGTTTGAAAATTATAAAAGATTGATAACTATGTACTTGTCTTATTCATTTTATAACGAGTAAAATCTTTCTATTTTTGATACAGAGATTATATTATGACTTACTAAATTTTTTTGCCAAATTATCGTTTCAAATCGTCAGGATTAGCAAAAGGCAAGAAAAAAGTCAAACTATGTATGACAATTTATCAATACGTTGAATTGAAAATTTTTTTTAAAGGTTTTTATTCATGCAACATCAAGAGTAATAATAGCTATAAAAAAATACTATTCATTTTGAGTCATTTCTTGTAGAGTTTTTAATAAAATTTGTCGTACTGATCTTGCTAGTTTTTGTACTTCAGTATTTGTATCTTTAATAATAATATAATCTAACCATTGTTTTAATTCAATAAAATTTCCTTGTAAATCTTCGTCATGACATGTACTACCAATTGAAACTAGACAACATGCATATGCATATATAACAGCATGACGTACACCAGCATCTTCATGTTGTTGTAATAATTTAAGTACTTGTAAAAATTGTTTAATCATATTATTTAATGGTAATGTATTTTGTGCATTAATACATAAACGACCTAAACAAGCTAAAAGTTCACATAATAATAAATGATCATTATCATTATTAATTAATGATAGATGTGGTGTTGTTGTATCTATAAATGATATTAATGGATAGAAAAAATGTCCAACAATATTTCCAAAATAATTTTCTTTAAATAAAATTTGTTTTTTTGACTGGTTTTTTATTTTATATTTTGTTTTTAATTTTAAACGTTTATTAATAGTTGATTGCCATGAATCATTATCATCATCATCATCATCATCATCACCATCATTATCAGAAACAAATAATTCATTTTGAATTTTTGTTTGAATTTGATCAATTTCAGATAATTTTTTTCCTGTTTCTTGTATTGTTTTAAGTATAAGACTTCGTTGATTAATAGTATAATTTTTTTCATAGAATTGTTTACATAAATAATCACTTATTAATAACGGATAAGTTTTACATAATGTTATTAAACCATTCAACTGTAATTCTTGAAAATTTTCTATATTAAATGTACTATTATAATTTAATAAAATTCGAACAATTTCTAAAGCAACTTCTTCACATTCAATTTTATATATTTCAATTAATGATGGTAAGACATGTAAAGCTGCTTCCAATTGAGAAACTTTATCCGTTGCAATTAAATCAGCTAGACATGTTCGAATATAAGTTGGCTTTTGTACATCAGATTTAGCAGTGTCATGGGAGTAATCATATGATTCAAATTCACTATCATCGTCGTCATCATCAATCGATGCTTCGCGAAGAACAACAGTATTTGATGATATTGGCTTATCAGGAATTGATACAATCGATTCTAGAAATAAATAAAAATAATATTCTTATTTGTTATCATATCGTTATATGGGTGAGGGTGTATACAGTATTCAGTCCACACACCCGCACCCAGGGACGTAGCGACATGGGGGCGCATGGAGTGTCACGCCTGCCCTGCTTTTAGAACTTGAAGTACTGAAGTTTTGTGCCCCCCCCCCCTGCCTTGGAGATCTCGCTACGCCCCTGCCCACACCCACCCTCAAGTATTCAAGATTCTAACCTTTTTTTGCTGGAATTTCTTCTTGTTCATCATCAGATAATTCTCTATCAATATATGAATGATTTATTTCAGCTAGTTTTTTTAACATTTGTATTTCTGGATGATTTTTATCATATGTATTAAATTGAAGTTGAGTTGATTGTGAAAATAAATTAATACGTTCAATAATTAATTCTCCAATAAATTGACCACGTCGTCGAATATAATCAAATGTTGATTCAATATGTATACGAATACCATTTAATATACATAGAAGAATTTGATCTTTATCTTTATTCGTTTGTATTTGTTTATTAAGTGATAAACAAATACATATACATTGACATATATATAGATGTTGATTATTTGAAGAAAATCGAATAAAACTATCTTGTGACCATAATTGTAAAAAACGTATAAATGTATTTTCAAAACATTGTTCTGTTCGATTTATTGACATTGTTAAATAAATAAGAATAGTTTGAACAATATCTATTGATAATTGTTTACGAAAAAGTAATGTATCTGTTAGATATGTTTGTAATAACGGTAAATGAAGAATTCGATCACTAAGAAATAAATCAAGAATATTAGCATTACCATGTTGTATTGTATATAAAAGAATATCATCAATTGTTTCCAAAAGAAAATATTGAGCTAATCGTAACCAAAGAGGATCATTCGAACATTTTTTAAGAAATAAATTTTTATATAATGGACGCCAAATATATTCAGTATGACCTAAAAATAATCAATTGATTTTTCGAAAGAGAATCAACCTCATCCTTTATACAAGAGACTAGTGAACTGTATGAACTAAATTGGTATTCGACATCATTTAAGAAAAAGTTCATATTGAAACACAGAGCTGGGCAAAATACTCGAAGTACTCGATAATGTAATTTTTGAAGTTTTAGGTAATTACGTTTATAAAAAGATTGGTATGTTTTCGTGAACCTTGAAAATATATATATATATTATGTTATAAAACTAAAAGTCTAGTTTTCCTATTAGCTATTGCAGAAGGTTATAACCATCTCTGACATAATCTAATAGTACTCGTACTCGAGAAAGCCCGTACTTGCCCAACCCTGCTGAAACAAAAACAATTTTGATATAAGTCTAATTCTTTATCAGACCTTCGACTTCAACTCATTTATGACCAGAAAGAAATTAGTTTTGATATCGAACGATCTATAATTAAAACTATAAGTCAAGTGCTTTAGATCATAAAATAAATTGAACTCTAATCTCGATTTATTTATCTCTTATATTCAGTTGAAAAAAATACTTGTCAACGCAGTCTTGTTGATGCAAAACATGTGGAACTCACATATATTCGTATTAAAGACACCTCAGGACCTGTAAGTTCTTGGCCTTCCCTTATTTCTGAAACAAAACATATTTGTTGGCATTAGAACCCCTTCAAAAGCGGATCAAGTTAAGTGTGGTTCAAATTTGGAGTTTACGGATGTCTGAATTTTCGCGAAAAACTCTACCCGAAAGCTGTAATCGTCTGTTTTTCATTTCTCTAATAGATACTCTAGACTGTGCTGAGTCGACTGGTGATGCTCAAGTAAAAAAAAGCATACAGTTACAAACTACAAGTTGTCGAAAACTTGAAACTCGTAAACTTCAAATTTGGAGCTCACTTAACTTGACCTCACAAGTGCTACAGAGGGATGTATCAACTAACAAACTTAAATTCGAAATTTATGACCACGATTTTTTCTAAAGGATGGATAACATTAATTTGTCACAAAATAGAGTCATATTGATAGACCTTGATTGTTAATGATTTATTACCTAATTTTGCTGCTCTATGAACAAGTTGACAAAGAAAATTAATATTTGTATCAATTTGTGCAACCATATTTGGATAATGATATGTAATTAATTGTTCTTGAATATATTGACTTAAACGATGAAAATAAATTTTACTTTGAAAACATATTGGAATATTTGTCATACAAATATTACTAATTCGATCAGGTAAATGAATAATATATCCAATATCTTTATCTTGTTCAAGTTCATTTAATAATTTTTCATAATTTTTTTCATAAATATCAATTAATAAAAAAATAAAATAATCATTTAAATTCGTTTGAAATTCATTTATAATTAAATCAATTAATTGTTTTTGTTTTAATAGAATAGGTGTTTGTAGAAAATATTTATGAAAATTTAATTTTATATCTTTAATTTGTTCCGGTGTTTGAGAAAACCAATCCGGTAATTTTCTTAAACATAAACGAACTAATTTTTCTTGTTCAATTGATGTTAAATGGACATTTTTATCAAAAAAATATTCTTCAATTAATAAACGAATAGATGAATAAGAATTCGATGATGATATTTGTTTTAATACAAGATTTATTTTTTCAAATGACATTTGCAAAAAAAGAAAATGACAAAATACCTGAAAGAGAAATGAACTATTCTTAGAAAATAAAAGACAATAGAATTTGAGAAATAACATTTGATTTATTTATAAAGCTAATAACAAAATACATTTTTCTATGGTAATGTAGATGGAATCGCACTCGTATTTGTAAGTGGATGTTTAGTATTTAAATTAACATAGAGCGGAATCGTTCGTGGTGGAGGATTTTCAGCTCGACCATCGAATTCCGGAGCTCGTTTTTCTTGTTGTTTTCGATTCCACATATCTCGTAATGAATTAGCTAAACAAAATCAATGAATTGGTGTTTTATTTTAATTACAAATAAAATTTTACTCGCTATAACTTGTTTAATATCACTAAATTCTGTCCATACTCGACCGTTTGTTTTTTCATTATTATCTTGAGAATTTTTGTCACGTTTTATCATTGTCATTCCATTCGATGATGTTTCATCAGTAGGAAAAACAAAATCAATTTTATTACTAAATTAATTCATATATAAAATAACGAATTTATTTGATTTCAAATTATACCTTGGATAAACTGATGTATCACTTTCATTATCTACTTTTCGTCGTTCGAGAATATTTTGATAAATATGTCGATGACCATCTGAAGTATCTTTGTATCCACGAACAAAATATTCAATTTCACGCCATAAAAATCGATATGCTTCATCTCTATTAAGTGATTTTTTTTAGAATTTTAATAGAAAATATCTATTTGATTTACTTTTTAGCTTTAGCAGTCATTATTTTTGTTGTATATTGAAAATTATTCGGTACTGGTAATACATCACCATTTTTTTCCATTTTGTCAATATGTTTCAAAGCCAGTACACATTTTCCTATATCATCATCTGACAATTTTTCACGTAAGATTAAACTTGTTAATTGATTTATTGGCTAAAAAATCAGTCGTTTAGAATTAATCATGACTAAATAGATTAACATACCGCTGGCATATTGAATAGAATTGTCTCGTTAATCAATACTGGACATCGACGTGTATGACGTTCAAGAAGTCGAAGAGCTACAAAAAATTTAATTATACAATTTTTTCTCTATAAAACAAGTCTATACAATCTTCAATAGGAATTTTTCCACTTGGCATTGTGTCTAATGGATAAAGTGTTGTTGTACGTATAATATTAATAAAACTCTGATGAAAAAAAACGAAGATAATATTAGTACAAATAAAATTAAATCAATTACTTCAACACGTAAATCTTTTTCTAACATATCATCATCTATTTCATCCATTAATTCTTCTAAATCATTTATTGATATATTATCTTTTTCATCATTGACAATATAACATGGTCCTATTTTACTCATTGGATTATTTGAACCAAATGCAAGAGCATGGATCATTAATTCTTGATTATGTGAAATAATCATATGAGAAAAAAGTCTATTATTGGCTGCTGCTGCTGCTGCTCCCGCTGCTGTTGTTGCGGTTGATGATAATGACATATCAATATCAGATGTGTTTAAACTATTTTCATCACCATATTCATTAATATTAATTGTACATTCATTTGGTAAATTACCAAGTTCAAGTAAAACACATTTACCACTAAGTAAAAAATTTGTTAAACATGCTGATTCACGACTATTTACATCTAATGGTGAAAAACGATAAGCTGTATAAGTATCGTAATAATCTAAAATAATTTATAATCTAAACTTTTGTTTAATATATTTATATTTAAATTTACTTTCTGGATCATAAGAAAATGCACTCCATTTAAGAACGATTGTTTCGACATCTTCTTTAATTTGACGCCAATATTTTAATGGTGCTCGTTCACGTAAACTATCATGAACTTCAGCTGGATGAACAATATCAACATCATAAATTAAACTTGAACGTGACGCAACATCTTCCTAATAAAAGATGATATTTCATAATTTATATTAGAAATACCGTTTTATTACTTTCATTGGAATACCAGTGACAGTTGTTAATGCTAAATTATGTTGTTTTAATAACATTTGTAGCATTCGTGTGAATAACATTTGACCAGCTTGAGCATAATAAAGTGTACGATGAAGAATAGAAGTTACCTGTTTAGAAGTTAAATGTAAAAGTTAGATAGAGGTAATTGTTTTCTTTACTGAATGTAATTCTGGATGTGTTGTTGGTACAGATTGATCAAGTGATCGAATATCAACTAATGTTAAATCACATTTTGTTAGTGGGACAAAACTAAACAATAGTTTAAAACATATTTATCATACAAATATTGAAAGACAACTATATGCCTATTGCACTGAAGTTTTTCTATTTGAATCTAGATTTTATAGTTTGCATATAACACTTACTCAGTCACTTCAAGTGCCATATGATTATGAGATTCATGAAATGTTCGAGCATCTTTTTCGATTGTTTCAATACGTTTACTAAATATAGGATAGATTCGTATAAAAATAACAAATTCCTGAATTTAATTACGTATTAAAAGTTGAAAATAGAATAATATGTCCACTATTTGTATAATCTGATTCACTTGGAACATGTTGTTTTTTTGAACGTGTGCATAGTGCTGTTATTGCTTCATTAAGTGAATGTTTTAAAAGATCATCATCATTGACTGTTGAACGTTCGTTTGGTGGTTGAATACCAGCAAAAAATTCCATACACTAAATTATATATTATAAATTATTTTCTTTAATATTTAACGAAGAATTTTTCTACTTGTGAAAGATTTTTATATCGATTCCACCATGATGATTGATCACGTTGATCAATACCTGTAACTATAAGTGTAATCTAAATAGAAAAATTATATGAAATCTTTACAAAAAGAAAAGAACAATTCTTACAAGTGCATCATCTTCAAATATATCAAATAAAATTCGACAATATTCAAGAACACATTCTACGACACATGTCCATAATGATTTCATACCCAGAGTATTTTCATTATTAGTTTCATCATGTTGCTGCTGTTGTTGTTGTTCGTTATTTTGAACATTAACATTAAATGTAACACCCGATGGACGAGCAAAAAAACTACTATGATCAAGAATTAAAACTGTTTTACTTCTTTGATGATCCATTTAATTTTGTTCAAAAAAAAACTATCTTCCTATACAATGAGTCATTTTTAATGTTGATTGGAAGTAGATATATACCATTTAAAACTTCGTATGTTTTAACAATACAATGTGAATAAAGTTGATTGTGGCGCTAAAATATTTTGTATTAATAATAGTGAATCAAATCATACTTTTCATATTACTAGTTTCGTTTTATATATGCATAAATAAACTAGATATGTATGTAGGTGATTATTGTATTTAATGTCATAATGACATAACAGATTTCAGTGGATTCACTAACGTAATGATAAGTATGGTTGATTATTATTGAACTAGATCAAAATTAAACTTCAGGTATTTCGTTTTTTTCCATAGTAGAACGATATATAAATTAGTTTTTCCATTAAAGAGCTTGTTGTAGTAAAACTTGTTAAATCTAGAAAATGAATATAGGTTACATATTCTCATGAGACGATCAAATATTGAGTACTTACTAAATTAAAGAGACGATTCTAATGATTTATGAATTTTTAACGTTAAACACGTCTAAATTTCACTGTAATCTACTTGATGAATCTCTTAAGTAAGATATATTAAGAGCTAGTTTTCGTGTGCTAGATTTAGATACAAAATAATGAGTATTAGCAACATATTGATAAAGTAACTATAACCGGTGTTTTATAAAAGTTGTCAGAATTTCTAGAAATGATGAATACTATCATTCTAGAATATTTTCACTTTCAACTATTTTTTTAATAACAATTTGATAATTTCAGTCATTTTAAAATGATATTTTTGTTTTGTTTCGTTGACGTCAGTATTGTGTAGAAGGTTAACATGTGACTATAAGGATTGTTTGCACAGGTAGGAAGAAAAAGAATTGACTACACATTTATTTTTATAGAAAAATTTTTCTTCGTTCAACGACTATATAAGAATAATTTGATCGGTTATTTTTCTAAGAAAAAGAAATATTTTTTAGATTGCTTTTAAAAAATAATCAGACCATACATTGATTTCTTTTTATCGTACGTTTCTTCGAATACAATTTAATCAATAACAATGGCAAATGTTCATGTAAAAGCTCGACAATCACCATATTCTGCCACTAAAGATGTTAATGTAAGATTTTCAATTTATAAAAGTTTTCATTATTTTTCTTTATTTTTATTAGAGAGCATCCGTACCTGATGAAAAAGTACCTTGGAATGTTAGTTGGCCTGATTATAAACCAACAGAATATACAGCACCAGCTGTATTAAAAAATCCACCATGGGCTGATGATTCTGATGCGTAAGATCGATTGAAAATTATTGAGAAAATTCTAATTTTACCTTTGATTTTTAAAGAAAAAAAATTGAACATTATAATAAAATTGATGGAAAAATCGATCGAACAAGTTTAGAAGGCAAATATGATGTAGATAAAGAAACAAATCGACCAAGAAATCCAGAGGGTCGTACCGGATGTATATAATAAGAATTAAAGAAATTTCTCGAGAAAATAAAAATATTAATTTTATTTAGTGTCTGGTCGTGGTTTACTTGGTCGGTGGGGACCAAATCATGCTGGTGATCCAGTTGTAACACGTTGGGCAAAAAAACAGGAAGATGGTAAACCAAAAGTTCTTGAAATTATACTCATTACTCGAAAGGATACTGGTGAATTCGCTTTACCAGGTGGCATGGTTGATGCTGGGTAAACATTTAGATAGATGTCTATTTACTTGATGTTCATTTTTTTTTGATCTCGTTTAGTGAACATGTATCAGTAGCAATTAAACGCGAATTTATTGAAGAAGCTATGAATTCAAGTCCTGATGGTGAAAAACATATCGAGGAATTATTTAAAACAGCTAAATCAGTAAATAAATTTTAATTCATAAAAAAAGATTTTATTTTCTGTTAAATTTTAATAGATTTATAAAGGTTATGTTGATGATCCAAGAAATACAGATAATGCTTGGATGGAAACCGAAGCTGTGAATATGCATGACGAAACAGGCGATTTAACCAAAGATTTAAAATTAGAAGCTGGTAAATATATTTTTTTGATTTTTAATTAATGTATATTCTGTTAGATCAGAAAACATCGAATATGTTATTGACTCGTATATTTTTTCTCCATAGGTGATGATGCGGCAAAAGTGAAATGGATTCCACTTGATCGTGATCTTAAATTATATGCTTCACATGAAAAAATTATTCGAGAAGTTATCGAAAAACGTGGAGCTTTTAAATATTGGAAATCATAATCGTATTTCTAGCAAAGCCGATGACACAAAATAAATGAACAACTATTTGTATTTCTTAACTTTTAAAACACAAATCATAGACAATAACAATAAAGTATTTTAATTTTAGAAAGAAAAATAACTAATCCTCTCGTTTGTACTAACAAAAATTTGGTGTATGCTAATAGTCAATAACAAAATATTAGCTTGTACACTAATCATTCTTTTTTTATAAGTAGAAATCAATTAAAATATAGTAATACAATGATCATTTCATCAGTACTAAAAAACAGTTATTAAGAAAAATATTATTAGTTATATTCTGAGAAGTATGTCGAATATTCTAGCATAATTCAAAAAACTCATCATTGTTTCAATTTTCTAAATAAACGGCACACATGTTTTATTCATAAATTCTATCAAATATATAGGAAATATTTAGAATCTATTAATGATGAGAATATAATATTATTAAGTAACGACAAACTGATATTACAAACGAATAAAATACGGGCATAATTAAAGCTAGTCAGTAACTCACAATAGCAATCAAATACATAGATATTGATTTTTTAATACTTTTATAGTGTGGGTGCGGATTAACCTTTTCTTTGCCCGAACCCATCCTCAAGATGAGTAGCGTATTTTACTTCAAAATAATCAGCTTAGAAAGGCTGAAGAACTTTATAACGTATTACTTGAACAGACATAAAATGAGAGCGAAAAAGCGCTATATTATAATCAACTGAGATATATTAGAGATGAACAGGGTGATTATGAAACGGTTATTTAGTATTACGAAAAAGCACTTCCTTTCAATCATCCTTCATTGGCTACTTCATACAACAACATCGCTGCTGTATATTACAATACGAAAAACTATTCGAAAGCACTCTCATGTCAGAACGTGCATTACTTTCAATTCATCCTCATATAAAAAAGTGTGAACAAAAGTATTGAAAATGTAAAAGAAGAAATGGGAAAAGAATAGTTAATAAATAAATAAAAGACTCATGCGCGTGTACAGAGAACAACTCTGTAAGTAATAAAAAAAGATGTTTTCATAGCCAGATACGAATAGATTCAGGTTTAACAATGAGAATAAGAAATAGAGATGGTAGCAACATTTGATATATATATTAATATATATTTGTATATGCATACTTGTTTAAAATATTATTTTATAAAAATATTTGATTGATGTTATTGAAGATAAAACAATAAATTATGTAAAGTTGTTGAAAATCTTAGTGTTCTATTTTCATATAAACAGTGAATGTAGTAAAGAATAGCATGGCATTCAAGAGCATACAGTTTCTTTTATTAATTTACTATTATTGGCGAGGGAGATAAATTTCTCCAAAACAGCCTCCGAGTAGGAAGAAGGTCTCTAGAAGATGAAGATGTAGGTTGTAAAACTACGTTTCTATGAGATATAGATATTGCAACAATCATCATATTATTTATTTGTCATAGAATACATAGATATCACTAACGTCATTATCTTTGTTAAATGAGTCAGTTTGTGTGTAGATCTATCAAGATAAAGGTTGCTATGTAAAGATACTATAAAAACAATATGTTATTTATGTTACTTCAGTTTTACTTACAAATATTTTTCTAATGAATATATTAAACATAATTTTTTCTATAATTATATTACATATCGGTAAGAATATATTGAAATGATAAGCAATAATATAAGAATAATGTGTTTCTATTCACTTGAGGTATATGTAAATGTAATAATATAACATCATATATATCAAATAAAGATGGTGCTGGTGTTTGTTATTATTGTACAAATTGTCCAAAACCATTTAGTCCAGATCCATCATCTGTCATGCAAGTCTATTCATCCACAGGCTGGTGTGCTGTAAGTTAAATTATTAACAGTTAGGTAATATATGAGAAAAAAAACAATTTTTTTAGATGTTAAGTAGAACAGATTCAGCGGATACTGCTTATACTCGAAATGCTGCTCCACCTGGAATGTGTTATACAAAAGGATGTTCTTGGCAACTTCTAAATGGTAATAGAACATGGATTTGTTGTTGTAATGATAATCTATGCAATTGGGATCCTCCTACAACTGATTGTTATTATTGTTCTTCTTGTCCAAGACCATTTAATCCAAAGAGTTACTTGGTTTCAAAATCAGTTTCAAAAATAGGATGGTGTTATGTAAGTTATTCTTAGATAATTTTATATTCAAAATTCATATAAACAAACGAACAAATAAATCTATTTGTAGCGTAAAAGTAGTTCAAGTACAGATGATCAATCTACTGATCGAGGAGTTGCATCACCTGGTCTTTGTAGTTGGAATGAATGTTCATGGAAAATAATAAATAATAATAAATATTGGGTATGTTGTTGTAATGGTGATCAATGCAATAAAGCTATTTCAATATCAAAATCTACTATAAATATTTTGAGTTTTGCAATCATAATTATCGTAATGTTTCATAAAACGCTTTTATTTTAATTTGTTTACTGAATGTTTAATTATTGATAATATTGGATGTGCTTTTAACACTGAATATCAGTCAATATTTTGAATAAAGAGTGATATCAAGTGACATTTTGAGGGTGTGGATATCTCTTCTTTTCTATCATCCTCACCCACACCCACCATCTCTCTTAACAAAATATCGATGTGATCCGGAAATCAATTTGTACAATCATACTGAAAACTATTCATAGTTTGATTTGAAGAGTAAGAAGGAAACAACACATACTTAAAGAGTAGACGAACAATAAGATCTAAGGATTGTTTATCTATGAGAGATGCATACTCGATGACCACTGCTGCAAGTTAGCAAGAAAACTCTATTTGAAGAAAAAGAGATTATTTTAAAGATCATAAACTGATTATAATTTTTACCAAAAGTTATTGGTAATTCAAGGCTACCGAATAACTTTTGCACCATTCTGTATTTTCACTTTTCATTTTCTTCAGCGTCACGTTCGATTATTGCGGGAGGACAACATATGACACACGCATAACATATACTGTAGTTTGTGCTGGCTTTTTTCGTTCTCTTCCTTGTTTTTGCACTGTCATACTGACAAAAAGAAAAATATAACCACAAATATGTACTTCTTATCGTCGTTTAGCTAAATATAAGATAAAAACAATGATGAAGAAATGTACCGGGTAAGAGCTTTCTTTCGTTATCAAAATGTAACGACACCACGGTGAATTGAATTGATTTCGACCACGTATTGCTTAGCTTGGTGATAATGGCATTTTTATCTCTAAGAACTGTACTATAAGATACGTGTTTTTTGTCTATATGATAGGAAATTGAGGACCTCCTTTATGACAGAATTTTAAAATCTTCGTTAGGTCGTTTTTCATACGTATAATGTGTACCAAGTGATGTGTCGAATAGTGACACTAGATCCTGCGATGGAAGAAGTCGAATAACTAAAGAAGCTGTCAGAGTATGTATATATGCATAATACTTTATACATATTCTTAAAGAAACAGCTTCTTTTTCATGAATATAAACTTATCCTAACCGTTATCTGTATTTTCCTCCTGAAATCAAAAGTATCTTCCTCTCGTATATGATTTCACAAGTGAAAAATAAGAAACCTTTTCACAAAAGTAGTGCGGTTCTGAGTTTGAAATAGTTCACTTTCCATTCTACAAGATAGAGTACATATTTGTCAGTTGATGAAGTGATTATACTTGTATTTTAGTATGACTCAGTCGTCTGATCAACTAGACTCTACGTTACATAGTTCTCTTCACTATCTGATGTTTACTTGGGATGGTGCTGGTAATCAACCTCCGATGATTACCATTGCTCAACGACTCACAAAGCAAGGTCATAAGGTGTCCGTTGCTGGCTATGATAGTCAGAGAAGCCGCTTTGAGAAGCGAGGAATCCGGTTCATTCGTATGGAGCACACGCACGCAATGGTGGTAGCAAGCAGCTCGACAGGACTCGATCGAATGATTGATACAGCCTGGTGTTGCACGGCACAACTGAAGGATGTTGCTACGTTGGTAGAACGAGAACAACCTGACCGTATTATTGTGGACTGTATGATGTATGGAGCTTTAGCTGCTGTGGAGAAGAGTGCAGAGATGACAAAAATCTCCTACATCTTAGTACATACCATTCCTGGCGGTATAAGCCCACCAGGTGGACAACTAGAATCATGGGCTATGAGCTCTGCTAATGAAATGAGAATTGCTGAGGGTCTTGAGCCTGTCAAAGAACTGTGGGATACTTGGAAATGGGCAGAGGGAAGATCGGTAGGCCGAGCATTGGTCACTAGCGTTCCTGAGTTAGATCCACTTGCTCCTCGTCTTAGCCATTCTCTGTACAGATGGATAGGTCCACAAGTAGAAGATACACCTCCTTCTGGATGGATTAATCCCTGGGCTCAAGATGACCAACGGCCTTTTATTTTAGTCTCCTTCAGCACAGACCCGTTCTTTGATGGTATAAGTAGGATGCAGAGAACATTGACAGCATTAGCCGATCAAACGAAGTACCGTGTCTTAGTTACCACTACTGTGACATCCATGGAGAAAATAGATGCTCCCAACAATGCAATTATCGTTGAGCAAATTCCACATTCAGAAATCCTGTCGCTCGGTGTGGATGTTGTGGTCACTCATGCTGGTCATGGCACTGTAAGTATCGCTTTGCGATATGGCGTACCCCTAGTATGCCTCCCGTTTGGAGCCGATCAACCAGTAATAGCACAACATGTGGAACAAATTGGAGCAGGAATTGCCTTAAATGGGGATGAAGCCACATCTGAACAAATTCGCGATGCAGTGGAACGTTGTGTCAGGGACTCTTCCTTCAAAATCCAAGCAAAGAAAATGAGTTCAACTATTGTTCATGTGCTGACTGAGGGATTCTGTATTGAGTAATACTGAATATGTGCTCTTTTTCTGAACACTTCGATGAATATTTTGTTTTTTTTTGATTTACGAAGTTTTCTGAAATTAATATAGCAAAAGTAGCGTGGCACACGTGTTATGCTTGTCATTATAATTTGTTATTACTTAAAGTTTTGATTATCAAAGTATACACAGAATTTTATTTCAATCGAACTTTTCTTCGCTGGATTAAAAACTTACTCAGGTTACTGTAGATGAAAGAACCATTCGTAGTGCATCGAAGAACTTATATACTACTAAAGAGTGTGGATGAAGAAGACGCATTCGCATCCACACACGCACATAATGTATGCAATATAATATTTAAATAAAAAAAGGTTAGAAACAAAATGTACAATGAGAAAAAAACTATTGTTATTTGTTATTTTTTTATCGGTATTCTTTTCACTGCATCATCATGATTTTTAATTAATTCTCGATATTTTTCTGCTTTAATAAATTTATCATATTCTCTTTGAATATCTTCATCATAGGAATGTAAGTCTATTGTAATTGAATGATTATCTAAATTGAATTTTAATGGTTTTTCCATTAATTGTTGTTTTGTTTCAATTGAATCACAATCAATAATAAATTGATTAGAAATATCATTAGAATCTAATATAAGATTCAATGGAATAAATTCAATTGATAATATATGCTTTTTAATATCAGAGTTTTCACTCATTGAAAAAGTTTTTAAGCGATCATAAAGACAATCTAGTAACTGTTGATGATGAATATCATTTGATACATTCGCAGGAAGAATTGCTAATAAAGCATACGGTTTTTTTTCTGGCGGTCTATTAAAATACCAAACTTTACGTTTATTTAAACGTTTTTTTAATTTTTCATATGTTTTAATAGCCATTTGACCATTTTTATCGATTTCATCACGTGGTATTTCATAATTAATACCACCTGGAAAATAACTAAAAAAATAAAATGATATATTTTATTTGTTTAGATATCTATATAACCTTATATCTAATGAATTTGCTTTAAGATCTTCACAAAGTTGATCTTGAATAAGTTCACTAATTAAAGTTGATTGACATAATGGATCTGTTTGAGTAATAAGTGTTAAAAAACAATCATTATATTCACGTGGTATTATTGTTAATGGTTGATCATTATGAATTTGTTTTATAATAAAACGCATTGGATTATCAACTTTAATTAATTCAGCTTGATGAGTTCGAATTTGATCTGCATATGGTTCAACAATTCCTTCAACATCTTTTATTTGAGCTTTTGTTACACAAGCAGAATCAAAAACTAAAAAAGGAAATTTCGAATTAAACTATATTTTAAATCTTAACTTACACGTTTTTGATTTATATTCTGTAAATTGTGTTTTTAATTCTTGATTAATTTCTTCTGATGTCATTTTGATATTTGTATTTCTCATTCGACGAAAATATTCCATCAATTGTTCAACATCAACTTCTGGTAAATCTTTATAGAAAGTTTTCGATGGACGTATTGTACCCAAAAGAAGTAGACGTCGTGTATTTTCATTTAATAAACTAGGTCTACGTTCACGACTTATATCTTCTAAATCAGTATCATTGATTATTGTAGAAAAATTTTCTATTTGATTATCATTATTTATTGAACTTTGAACAGATGATGGTATCGATATTTGTTGCTCATTTTGTGTCATTGAATAAAGATTAATTACTGGCATATGAAGAAGATTATAACGTTTTGATATGGTAGGAACTTTGAAGATTGAATAGTAAGATTTTTAAAAAAAATCGAATATTTATTCTTCAAATGTTACCTGAATTTCGATGACGAGCAGTGATATTTGTTGGTCGACGAGTATTATCTGTAGATTGACGTCGTTTTGATTCATGTACTGATTTTTTATGAATAGAACTACGTTTTGTTCTTCCATTGTGATCATTAATTTGTTGTTGAAATAATTGATAATCAACAGCAGAAAGTATTTGTGATTGACTCGATGTTGGCATAATTAAAAATAATATTATAGTTTACATTTGTATGAATATATACTATTGATGTAAAGTAGAGGAGAAAAAAAAATGATTTTAGAAGAAGAAGAACACCAATAGAAATAAGAAGTCATAGATATGTTACTCATATTCTATTAATAATCAAATTTTATTTGTCCTCTACAAGAAGATTGAATTCATAATCAATCAAATAAAATCAGATAAGTAATCTTTATTGTTTAAATCTCATTTCCTAACGGAAACAAATAATAATAACATCAGCTTAAATTTATAATCGATAAAAATCGTGTTATATTTTATTTCTAGCTTTTAGCATTACAAAAAATAAAGCGTCATTAACTTACTCTATTTTTATACCTGAAGTAATTTCAAAAATTAGTCTTACGGCTCTAACATATGCCATATAAAAGAAGACAAAAAAGAAATCTACAAAGTGCACTTTGAATATAGAGAAAAAAAAGAAATGCCATCAAATACAACAAGACTGTCGTCGAACAATCAAATTGGAATTAACTTTATCATGTAATTATTACATTATTGCATAGAACAAATATTATTCAATACCACAGATATGATGAATGTTCATAACTTTGATACGACATTATATGTTGGTAGAATACGTACACCTCCCCCAAGTATGCTTTTATTACCACATTATCGTAATAGTCCTTCAGTTGATCTTCGTTCTCGTCAACAAAAAAGTCATCATGATATAACAAGTCCATCATTTGGTTGGCGACGATATTCTGATAAAACAATTCAATTAAATCCTGCACCTGATATTGCATATCGTAATACATATTTAGAAGGAATTCAACGAGAAAAATCGGATATAAATAATAATGAACAAATTCATTCTCGTTCATCAACACCTTATCTTAAAGTACAAAATTTATATTCATATCATCTTCCATCGGAATTATCACAACAAAAATATCATTCTCAACAACAGCATACAGTCTATGATTATATTCGTGATTCTATTCGACAATACGAACAACAACGTAATTTAAAACGTAATATGTCACTCCATATTAAACGCCCACAAAATGAAGATAATACATTACAGCATATATTAAGTAAACGGAAAATTTCAGCATCACGTAATAATTTGACAGAAACAACGTCATCATTCTCTAATTATGGGTTAAAAAGATCTCAGACTGTCGTTAATTATATTAATCATATTCGTGCAGTTCATTCAAAAACAACACTAAACCAATCACATCGATAATAAAAATTATCTCAAGTCACGAAAAAAACATAAAGAACCTTTTCTTTATATATATATTTTTTTTATCTATATAATAAACTCTTTCAACTATTTCTAAACATGTT